GAAAAGGGGCTGACAAGATGGTTCAGCAGATAAGAGCACTTGCAGCTCTTGCAGAGGACCTGCATTCCTTCTAAAGAACCCACAGAGCAATTCAATCCAGTCCTAACTGTTTCATTTCCAGTCCCAAAAGTTCTGCTGTTCTCTTCTGTCCACCTTGGGCACTGTATACATGTGGTGTACATACACACAATGCAGACAGAACACTCAAATACATAAAATAAAAATGATTAAATTTACTCTGAGATCATATTCGTTATTCTAAATTACCTAAGGCTACTACTATAAGCTAAGAAGAAACATCATACTATTTGAAATATGAATTATGAGCTTATAAAGACAGAGATGGCAGTGTTTTTAGGGTTTAAAAATATCAACCTTAATTATTACTTTGGAATAGGCACATTCTTGTACTTCATTTTCAGTCATCTTAAACTGACAATAGAAATAACTGTTTCAAATCTGAATTATTCTATCCTCATTCCTCATACACAGAAGTGCTATTAATTTATCAGACACTTGTGATTTATAATCTGAAAAAATACAATATTGTTCTAACTTGTGGCCCTGCTATCAAGCCATTTCCAATATGTCACATGATACAATGCTCTAGATATCTTTTGAAAATTAACCATATCACTCTGATTCTCTGTTTCAACTTTTTATTATGTTCTTGCCTCTACGATAAATACAGACTTAATAGCTCACACAAGAAAAATCTCTGATATGCATTTATTTTTTGTTTTTTTTTAAAGACAGGGTTTCTCTGTGTAGCTTTGAAGCCTGTCCAGACACTCATTCTGTAGACCACACTGGCCTCAAACTCACAGAGATCCACCTGCTTCTGCATCCCAAGTGCTGGTATTTAAGTGAGCCACTGCCACTTGGCTCAGATATGCATTCCTCACTGACTTGTTTCCTCTATTATCCAGACAAAATCAATCACGTGCTACCAGCGTTCAGCTTCCCCACATCGTTTATTTAGTCATGTATTTGCTAATGGAACCCTAGCTAATGTTTTAGTGAGTGATTTTCTTTCATCCAGTGGGATAGGGGGAGAGGAAGTGATGCTAACACAAGCTTAAAAGTAGTGTTTACATAATTTTCTTTAGTCTCTGAGCACAAAGATTGCACTCACATCTAGAAACTTGAGGTTTACAGCCTTAGATTGAGAAATTTGAGCTATATATTATTTCACATCTCTCAGTATTAAAGAAAAGTCTTAAAATATGTAAGCTTGTCTAGGGGAGATCAGCAAAAAAAATGGCCCGAAAAGCCAGCCATGTAACATTTGTGGACTTCTGAACACTACAAAACTACTTTTATCTAAGCATTTGATTTAGACATGAAGACTTGTCACACTTTGAGCCACGTGGTCACAGAGTAGCACCACAACAAAAAAGTCAGTGTCCTGAATGGGCTTTGAGAGTAAGTACTGAACAATGAAATACTCAGTAAGAAATGCTGAGGAAAATATACCATGGCAAACAACTGCCATCATTGTCATCTGTGGTATGTTCAAGACATAACAAGGACATAACAAATAACATTTTGAAATGGAGCAATAGCATTTCTAGACAAGAAAAAGTTTTTAAAATGCTGCCTGCCTCTGGTAGATTGTACTTGGGAAAGCAGGGGCAGTAGTTTCTGGGTGTTTTCATTAACTTCTTTCCTAACTAAAAAATCTCAAGTGAGGAAAGAATTTTCAAAATACAGTATTTTCAGGCAAATTGGAGTCAATAGTTACCCTCAATTAGTCCAAAGGAATTCCTACAATCATCTACCATTGAATTATTCCAGAGGAAAAACATGTTTCAAAAAATTCTGATTGTGTGAAACTTAAATCTCAGAATGACAACATGGAATGAAATTTATAGTGAAATGACAAAATTGTGACATCAATAGTAATGAAAAATCCATTAATCCATCTGCAGAGGTTATAAAGACCACTTACATTTAAGAACACAAGAAAGCCAAGATATTAGCTGAAATTGTACACTTTTTCCAAAAGCTTCTATTACAATGGTTTTCAACCTTCATACTTCTGTGACATTTTAATACAGTTCCTCATGTTGTTGTCACCCCAATCATAAAATTATTCTCATTGCTACTTCATGACTGTAACTTGGCTACTGTTATAAATATTCATGTAAATATCTGTGCTATCTGGTGGTCTTAGATGACACCTGTTAAAAAATAATTTGACACTCCAAAGCATCATAACCACAGGTTGAGACACTGATGTTCTAATAAGTGAAAATCAAATGAAGGCAACAGTAAGAAAGTCAACCTAGTGTGCAGAAGCATCTAGAGATCTGTGAGATGATGATGTGTGAGAACATAAGAATATGAGGTGTTTTCCCAGAAAACACTGAAGAACAAAGATTTTGTTCATCCATAAGATAAAATATTTTGCTGCAACTACATTTTGAAGAAAAATGCAAAAAATGTATTTTCTTCTGTCTCATGAAAAAGTATCAAAGTGTTCCTCCAACATGTACTAATTGAAAGAGATTCATAGACAGGTAGCCTTTAAGCAAGGCAACTATTATGTTTGATGATGAGAACATCAAGTGCTGCCAATATCTAGGAGGGAAAACAAATGTCTTACAAAAAAAACATGTCAAATATCAACAATGGAATAGATATGTTTTGAAAAACAGAAGCCAAAATCTAGGTAATTGCTTAATATATATGATCTACATCTTATATGTAACATATATATGTGTGTGTGTGTGTGTGTGTGCGCTCGCACGCGAGTGTGTGTGCGTATACACATATATGCGCTTATATCAGTATTACAGACTTTAGCTAAACCTATACTTAAAGGTGTTTCTTCTCCCCTAGATCCTACTGCTTTGTATGTCTCACACTTGGCATTGTAGACTGTGATTATATTTACTTGCATCTTAGCCCTCATACGATAGTCTGTTTTCTTTTAAGGACAAGAAAAGCTCAAAACCTTTGCATCCTGTGTTGTCTTTGTGCCTTACCCCAGAGACTCACTGAATACGAGGTGAATAAAACAATTATAACCGATATATGCTTGTTAGTGCTCTCGGTCTCATCAATAAATATAATGTGTCAGTATAGCTCCTATTGTTGATTTTTTTAAAAGACTGACTATATATGGTCCTCTATCTTGTAGTTTATTTTTCTAAGAAATCCTAAGTGACAGTAGAAGGAATTCTCTGCTTTGATCTGCTGCCAATTCTCCCATCCTGCCTCTTCTAGATTCACACAGTTCTAAGTATTTCATTCTTGAGTTTTCATAGGACAAGTAGCTATCTCCAAGTCACAGGGAACAATCACAAGTATGGTCAACTAAGGTTACTTCCCTGAAAGTAGAGGTCAGCATAGTCAGGACTTCTTCAGGGGGATAAAGAACAAATTTCTCTAGAAGATGTGGGTGAATCATCATGCTAATAATTCCATAAGAGTGTAATGCTCAGAGATTGAACCCCAAAAGTAAAGGGAATTGGCTCGATGAGCATGGAATGCAGCTCAGCTTTGCTGGAACTTTATCCAACTACTCTGCTGACCTCATGACTTTCACCATTCTCCTAGGAGATGGCTTTGCTAAATATTTTGCCAGTATGTCTGTCTATGTTCCACATGTTGAGCTAGTGCCTGCAGAGGCTAGAAGATGATGTCAGATCCACTGCAACTGTAGTTGAAGGTTGTTTAGAGTTTCCATGTGGTGCTAGGAATCAAACATGGGTCCTTTGAAGGAGCAGTCAGCACTCGTAGTCACTGAGCCATTTCTCCAGGCCCATAAGCATCAATTTATTTATCTTAATATAGTTTAATAAAATATTCATTGCTTAGTGTTGTAAAGATCAAATGTGATATTGAACATAAAAGATATAAAACCAAATAATTTTAACTATTGTTTACAGCTGCACGCACATAAAATTTACTTTTAGCAACAATGTCTCTAAAGGAAAGGCAGCACTATAGAGACTAGAGTGAGACTATAAATCATCATTGTCAGTTACTCAGTTCATTTAAAAAATGGGAGTGCTAAATGTTCAAGAAGATCTGGGTTAATATTCAGTTTTAAAGAGCACTGATAGGAAATTTAAAGATATTTATGAATAGGTACAGGGTTAACTAGATTCTGTTTGTCTATCATGATAGTTCCCCCTGAAAATAATTAATTACATAATCCAAACCTGGCCTAGGTGAGTTATTAATTATATACCCATTGTGATAGATTATCATAACTGGGAGAAATGGTGTCTTCCACACTTTGAGCATCAGCTTTTCCAACATAACACTCATTCCACAAAAGCAAAGTAATTAACAGATACACTGTGAGAAGCTTGACAACTTTCTTTCAATGAGCTGTGTGATTTCTTTGCAGGTGTACATGCTGCCAATGATTAGACTGATTTGAATTTTGCAATGAACATCTGCTGATATCTCCATTCCTTCCAATTACAATTATTAAGGCTCTTTTGACTTTGTCAGATTCATTTTTTTTAGTTTTTGTTTTCATTTTACATTCCAACCACAGTTCTCAATCACATCCCATGTGCCTCCTCCTATCCCCCTCAGAATCCCCCTATCCCACTCCCAATCCACTCCTCCTCATGGTTAAGGGCTCCCATGAGGAGTCAACAGAGTCTGGCTCATTAAGATGGGACAGGTGTTGGGGAAGTCCTTTGTCAATAAAGTACTGTTGAGCCAATAGGAATCTAGATAGGTGGGACTAGGAGTCCAGGAGGATTCTGGGAAGGAGAAACACAAGAGAGTCAACATGTAACCGCCATGGGGTAGGAAGCCTGGAACTATTCTCCGGTAAGAGACATACTTAGATTAACAATTATGGGGTAATTACTTAAAGCAGAGCTAGCCAGTAAGAGACAAGAAAGGCCAACAGCTTCATAATTAATACAGCGTCTTGTGTGTTTATTTGGGGACTACAACGTGGCAGAGTCCAGGCCACTGGCGGGGGATACCAAAGCAGCTAGCAAAGAAAAAGCTTCTCGTTACAGGACAGGGCCACTCCCTCTCCAATAAATTAAGATTGAGCATGGCATCTCACCCTGAGGAGTGGACTCCAACAAGATAGCTCATGTACCAGGTTTGTATTGTGATCTTACTGTCAGGGGCCCCTCTGATAGTTCAAGCTTCACAACTGTTTCCCACATATGGAGGGCCTAGTTCGGTCCCCTGGAGTCTCCACAGTTGTAGGTCTAGAGTTCATGAGTTTCCACAAAATTGGTTTAACTGTCTCTGTAGATTTCCCCATCATGATCTTGACCTCCCTTGCTCATATGTTTTTCTCCTCAATCTACAAGACCCAGTAATAGGACTCTTGGGCATTTACCCAAAAGACACTCAATCATACCACAAGGACATTTGCTCAACAATGTTCATAGCAGCATTATTCTTAATAGCCAGAATCTGGAAACAACTGAGGTGTCTCTCAACAGAAGAATGGATAAGTAAATGTGGTATATTTACACAGTGGAGTAATAGTGGTAAAAAGTGATGACGACCTCTTGAACTTTTAAGGCAAATGGATGGAACTAGGTGGTGCACTTTAAAGTTCTACCTCTCGTCAAGACATTCCAGTTCTATATTTGAAGTCATTGTCCTTGCTAAATTATTTTGGGAAGCTTCACCATTGAGGAATAATGTTTCTGAGAATTATAGATTATAGTTACCCATGCTTCTTATACCTATGAGGTTGGTCAGATATAGATATTTGATCTTCAAACACTTCAAAGACCTGCAGAATGTATCATTTAAATGTTCCAATAATTTAGTACTTCATTGACATGAGACACAATGACCACACTGAGCTATTTCCAAGAGTGTGATGGGCACTGATGCAACTTCATCTAGAGCTTGATCTCTCCTTAGCTACTGGCCTCTACTAATGCCCACACATCCACCACTGACTTTGAACAAGTTGTCCTAACTGGACTAGCTGGAGATAAACTTAAAGAAGACTGCTGAACCTTGCCAAGTCATGGTAAGATAGCTTTTAAATTTCCCTGATTCTGAAGCTGTCTGATAAATTAAGCCTTAGCTAAAGTTGGTTGCCCCAATATTGCTGTGAGACCTTGGACGACTGCTCAGGAAGCCTGCTGTTTTTGTCTTTGCTTGCACCTTGAGGAAGTAACATGCTCCCACTTCCTGCCTACTCTAGTAATGTTATTTTCCTTTGCAGGTCTTTGATGAGGTTGAAGACTAGGCAGTCATAGCTAATATCCTCTCTTATCTTAGATAGTCAAGGCTAGACTTTCCAGATTAGGACTGCTATCAGAGTAATCTCTGTCATGCCATTACCCTGAAACTGGACATGTAGTATGTGTCTATTGCTCAATATTGCTCTTTATGGTAGTAGGTTTTAATTTGTGTATGTTTACCCTTCCTTTTCCTGGAATATACTTAACATTTGTTATCATTGTATATAGTTTTTGAAAAAGGCTTAAAACCTTCTTCTTTAGACTAGAAGGGGAATTATAGTGGCATCGAGCCTTGCCAGTGTGTTTGTGTTAGTTAGCTGCATCCCATTGGGTGTGGCTTCAGGTATGAACAGAACCAGAAGGCAGGGAATCATGGGGTTAGGCTTGATCTCTCTCTCTCTCTCTCTCTCTCTCTCTCTCTCTCTCTCTCTCTCTCTCTCTCTCTCTCTCTCTCCTGGGTTGCAGATTGAATCAGAAGAGTAGACACTGTATCCTCTGCAGCAGAAACACCACTCTGGTTATTTATTATTATCTGTGTAAGCTGTTCCCCAATAAAACACTCATTTGTAATTTATCTTGGATCTAGTGAACTCATTACAACCCTGTCTTCAACTAGTTAAATCCATCCTGAGTGAGGTAACACAGACTCAAGAAACAAACACAGTATGTACTCACTCATTAGTAGATTTTAGATGTAAAGCAAAGGATTGCCAGACTAAAGTCCACAGTTCCAGCAAAGCTTGGTAACAGAGAGGAACATGAGATGGAGACAAGGATCATTCAGGAGGGAACAAGATTGCCTTGGCAGGAAGGCATGCAGTAGAAGAGCAATTAAAAAAATATCTTAAAAGCAGGATCCACTATGGTCGTATGGAGAAACTTGGTGCTAGGGTAACTTCCAATAATGCACAAAGAAGACCCCACCTAAAACTACTAGCAATAGTAGAGAGGATGCCTACACTGGTCTACCATTTTCATCAGATTGATGACTACCCCAAGTATCATCATAGAGCTGTCATGCAGTAATTGATGGAATCAGATGCAGAGATCCAAGACGAAGACTTTGTCAGTTTCTAATCCCAATGAATTGGTTGTTCAAAGCTGCTTGCATAATTATGATTAGTGCTCTTTGTCATAGATGTATTCGCCCCTGAACAAATGAATTCTTCCAAAGAATAAGTTAATCAATGCTATTGCCTCACTGTAAAACTATGGGCGGTGGTATAAGAGAGAAAGCTAGTATAGAAATGCATGCATATGTCTATATCTGCATACCTACAAACAGAGCAGGATACATTTCAACTTAAATAATGAGATCTATTCTTATGCATGTGTATTTGGATTAACAAAAATCACTGATATGGAATATATACTCTATTAACTTATATTTGTGAAGTGAAGAGACAATTTTACCACAAACTGCAATTTATTTACCAAAATTGATATCCTGTTTGTATTTATTGTATTTTCTTTTTTATAAATTATATAGGAATTTCCTTTATTTTCTTTTTCTTATTTAAACCAGAGGCAAGATTGTTTTACAAGTCTATCTCAATTCCCTCTCCCTCCTCTCCTCCCTACCCCCCACTGACCCCATATCCCATGCCCTTTCTGCTCCCTAGGAAGGGTGAAGTCTTCCATAGGGGATCATCAAAGTCTGTCTTATCATTTGGAGCAGGGCCTAGACCCTCCCCCATGTGTCTAGGCTGAGAAAGAATCCCTCTGTGTAGAGTGGGCTCTCAAATTCCATTCGTGTACTAGGAGTAAATACTGATACACTACCAGTGGCTACATAGATTTACCAGAGCCCCAAACTTACATCCATGTTCAAGGGGTCTGAAGGAGTTCTATGATAATTTCCCAGCTCTCAGTATGGGTTCCATGAGCTCCATCTTATTTGGGTCAGCTGTTTCTGTGGGTTTCTCCAGCCCGGTCTTGACCCGTTTGCTCATCATTCCTCCATCTCTGCAACTGAATTCCAGGAGTTGAGCCCAGGGTTTACCTGTGGTATCTGCTTCTGCTTCATCATCTAGGATAGCATATAACGTAGTCATTAATCTCATTACTGGAGAAAGGCATTTATGGTAGCCTCTAGACTATTGCTTAGATTGTTAGTTGGTATCATCCTTGTAGATCTCTGGATATTTCCCTAGTGACAGATTTCTCTTTAAACCTATAATGGCTACCTCTTTTCTTGCTTTTCTCTATTCTTCCCCTGACTTGATCTTCCTGCTCCCTCATGTCCTCCTCTTCCCTCCTCTTCTCTGCTTCTCTTTCTCCTAACTCCCTCTCCCCTCCCCTCCCCTTATGATTCCAATTAGCTCAGGAGTTCTTGGCCCTTTCCCCTTCTCCAGGGGACCATGTATATCTCTCTTAGGGTCCTCCCTGTTTCCTAGCTTTTTCGGGCAGTGTGCAGCCTAAGCTGGTAATCCTTTCCTCTACGTCTAAAATCCACACATGAGTAAGAACATACCATATTTGTCTTTTTGTGACTGGGTTACCTCACTCAGTATTATTTCTTTTAGTTCCATCCATTTGCCTGAGACTTTCAAGATTCCATTGTTTTTCTTTTCTCTGCTGAGTAGTACTGTACTGTTAATGTACCACTTTCTTTATTATATCATTGCTTGTTGTGGGTATTTTAATATAGCTTTCCTTTTACTTATTTGCATTGTTACTAAAGCAAAAGGTTCAATTATTTGGTGTTCAATTCCTTTACTTTCTTATGGACCTCAAATCAAACAGCTGAATTCCTTGCAAAGGGTTCTGGTTAACTTATACCAATCATAAGGATATGAATTGTTTCAATGAGAATGTTATAGTAGTGTCAATATGTTGAACTTTATCAAAATCACTATGCTTTAGAGTGGTTTGTCCCACCGTGGTTTTATTTATTTATTTATTTTTGTTTTTTTTATTTTTATTTTATTTTCCAGTTTAAATTTAGATAAGAAACAAGATTGCTTCACAAGTCAGTTCCAGGTCCCTCTCCCTTTCCCTCCCCTACTCCCGTGCCCTCCCCCCAATCCCTCCCCTTCCCCCCCCCCCGTTATCCGCTCATTCCCCCAGGGAGGGTGAGGCCTTCCATGGGGGTGTCCATAGTCTGTCATTTCATATAGGGCAGGGCCTAGACCCTTCCCCAAGACTTCAGGGTGAGAGTGCACCTCACATTGTTCTATGGGAGTCCAAAGTCCGTGTGTATACTTGGGATGGGTACTGATCTGCTGCCCAAGGCTCAATAGATTCCCTAGGCCTCCTCACTGACACCCAGATTCAGGGGGTCTTGATCAGTCCCATGCTGGATTCCCAGAATGATGCCTGGGAATCAAGAGTTAACCTTTGTCTGGTCAGCTGTTTCTGGGGGTTAAACCAGCCCAGTCTTAATCTCTTTGATCATCAGTCCTCCCTCTCTGTTACTGGCTTTCTTGAGTTCAGCTCAGTACTTAACCAAGGGAGTCTGCCTCTTCTTCGATCAGCCACATTTTCTCTATCCACTGTTCAGTTGAGGGACATCTAGGTTGCTTCCAAGTTCTGCCTATTACAAATAAAGCTGATATGAACATAGTGGAACAGACATCTTTGTTGTATGAATGAGCACCTTTTGGATATATGCCTAAGAGTGGATTTGCTGGGTCTTGTGGTAGGTTTATTCCCAGTTTTCTGAGGAATCTCCATAATGATTTCCAAAGTGGCTGAACCAGTTGGCACTCCCACCAGCAATGGAGGAGTGTCCCCCTTTCACCACATCCTCTCCAGCATAAATTGTCATTGGTGTTTTTGATTTTAGCCATTCTGACAGGAGTGAGATGGTATCTCAGAGTTGTTTTGATTTGTATTTCCTGGATGGCTAAGGATGTTGAGCACTTTCTCAAGTGCCTCTCAGCCATTTTAGACTCCTCTATTGAAAACTCTCTATTTAGTTCTGCAGCCCACTTTTTAATTGGGACCTTTGATGTTTTGGAGACTTGCTTCTTGAGTTCTTTGTAAATTTTGGAGATCAACCCTCTGTCAGATGTGGGATTAGTGAATAATTTTTCCCATTCTGTGGGCTGCCATTTTGTCTTGCTGACTGTGTCCTTTGCCTTACAGAAGCTTCTCGGTTTCAGTAGGTCCCATTTATTAATTGTTGATCTCACTGTCTGTGCTACTGGTGTTATGTTCAGGAAGCTGTCTCCTGTACCAATTCGTTCAAGGGTACCACCCACTTTCTCTTCTAAGAGGTTCAGTGTGGCTGGATTTATGTTGAGGTCTTTGATCCATTTGGACTTAAGTTTTGTGCATGGCGATAAGCATGGATCGATCCGCATTCTTCTACATGCCAGTCTCCAGTTATGCCAGCACCATTTGTTGAAGATGTTTTCTTTATTCTACTGTATATTTTTAGCTTCTTTGTCAAAGATCAGATGTTCATACGTGTGTGGGTTAATACCCGGATTTTCAATTCGATTCCATTGGTCTACCTGTCTATTTTTGAGCCAAAACCAAGCTGTTTTCAGGACTATGGCTCTATAATAGAGCTTGAGGTCAGGGATGCTGATGCCTCTGGACGTCGCCTTGTTGAACAGGGTTGTTTTGGCTATCCTGGGTCTTTTGTTTTTCCATACAAAATTGATTATTGTTCTTTCAAGGTCTGGGAAGAATTGTGCTAGGATTTTAATGGGGATTGCATTGAATCTGTTGATTGCTTTTGGCAGGATTGCCATTTTTACTACATTGATCCTACCTATCCAAGAGCATGGGAGATCTTTCCATTTTCTGAGGGCTTCTTTAATTTCTTTCTTTA